CAATAAAAGATTGAGACTAGGACTACTGTAACGATAACGCAATCGGGCAAGACATTTATTAAGACAATATAACAAGTTGATTTTCCCAGTCATGCATTCATGTACATTGTTCTTTTGTGAACCACCCTCAGGTGAAACTCAAATTTTGACTTCGTTTTGATCCTCCTGATGTGCTGATCCGATTGTCTCCATTCACGGCTTGAAATACAACTCGACCCAAGGCATCTTGCTGCCTGCCTGGAGTCTAGAAATGCTACGGTTATTTTTCCATACGCTTCCCTTTGACTGCCGGTTATACGCGAGCGGTTCCGATCATATCCTTCTATGAGCGCGATTTAAGGTTCATCTAAGTAACCCCGATCAGTAAACAGAATCAACATTGTACCTTTGGACGTGCCAGAAACAAAAGCAATCTTCTCAGAGGGTTTTGTTAATGATCTGGCGTCCATCACCAATGTGGACGCTCGTTGGATAAACTTCAAAAATTCAAGTGAAGCTGCACTGACGAATCCAGGATAACGTTCCAACTATGAAAATTGGATATCCGCAGATACGCCACAACTATCCTCCTAGGAAAGATAGTCTCACTCAAAAAAGTTCTCAGTTTTGCTGCATTCGACATGAAGTCTCATGCCCTGCGGGGAAAAAGCAAGTGATATTGGGCGGAAATCAGTGTTTCGACGAAAGCCGATAAAGCTCTCCAGCTCATCCGCCCCTCTGCCGGCCGGAGACAACCACCAGAATGCACACTACGTGATGTAAATAAAAATCCTTCCATAGAAAGAACTCAAAATGAGAAAATAGGTGGAGCTTTTTGATCAGCTATTGAATCGTTCGTTGGAACAATCTATTAGCCTTTACACCAATAATTTCTGGGGCTTGCAACGTACCTGTCATACATCCACCCAAGCCAAGGTAATCGCAGCAGTGAACACCCCGAAAAACAAAAGAAAGTTCCTGCAGAGGAAGATACCTCCCCCTCCACGTAAATCTAAAAAGCCTGTCTTCAGTCCATTATTGGCTGTCTCAAAATATATGTTGTTATATTTCACACACGCCTGAGACCAGACTGCCAAACAAACCGTGGTACAATCACCTGGAAATCTTTGAAGACAGAACCGAAGCTATCCAACGGGTGATCACTTACGTCGGTTTCTTTTCCAAAGTCATCGGAATGGAAATTACCGCCTTCAAAACTGATATATCTATAGAGCTACTCCTAACATACTTCGTCCAGATTGATGATGAACCAACAGAAACGGTACATACACTTCGTTTTTTTGATCCTGAACCAATTCAACTTCCAACTAAAAGATAAAATTGTTTAACCATTCGATAACACACGCGGTTTTTCAGTCGTGCAATATATTATGAAGTCACAGTGAAATTAGCTTGCACACTAATGTAGGACTCCTATTGGTTATCGCCCGTTCTGTTCTTACAACTGCAAACCCTGCAACATGCGGCAGTTGAAAGTTTTAGGTCAGTTGTGTCTACGATACACCGTCAAGTTACAGGGGGAAATGAGTTTCTTTTGAAGAAATTCAACGATGATGCAACGTGGTTCAGTCATGTTATCTGAAGATCTGTGAATACCATTTCAAAATAATGCCTCTTAATAAGGTGATATCCGGATGGCTTAGCTTAGCACTTGAGTAAACCCAGTAATGGAATATGTAGAGTAGTTGGGTCTCCGAATTAAATAGTTCCAGAGAATGGAGCAGGAATGGGGTCTCAGTTTGTTCACATCTTTGCAATAAACCTACAAGCGTGAGCAGCAGAAGTCTGAGACAAGAACTAAACTCATCCCTACACCGTCACCATTGCAAATAAGTCTGTCGGAAGGTGGTTTTAATATAGTCACTGGCATTTTTTGACCAGCTCCTCACCGCTGGTTTGCATCATCGACTCGACTATCTACTTCATCTGTTGCGGAGGTTGTCTCCTGGATGGCTGGCATTCATTCCCTCTAAATCAGGACGCTAATTCATCTCTGGTAATCCATTTACCTTGTGAGTCTTGATTGGTCTATAAACCAGTGTTTTTCTGCTAAAAAATCATTTACGACCCATCCCATCGACTTTGGAATTCGTTTGGTCCCGACCCTACAAGATCAAATCTCTCTTTTCTTATAAGTTGTCCGATAGAGAGCGGCTTCCACTTGTCTGATCGATCTCCACTGTCATATCGTCTCTTGTTCTGGCTTTGAGCGTTTCCCATGCGTTGTTCAACTATTGTTATCCTTTCTTTTCAGTGATTTCGATTAATACCCATTCATTCATGGTTCCTTTGAACATGGCCAACAGTTGTGTTCACCGTAAACCCAAGTGTATCAATATGTCTCGCAAATTCTTCGACTGAAAGCGTGATCCTTGGTTGACAATGGTGGGTAGGTCAGGTATGGTGAACCTCATCATCGCTTTACTGAATAAAAAACGAGGGATCATGTCGCTCGTTTGATCCTGCACCGGACACATTGTTAGCTATTGTCGGGATGGGCGAGTATCTCGTCGACGTGAGACCAAAACTGTCCAATCACCAGACCTGCAAAACTCAGTGGGCTAGGATGGGTTTCACTGTCCGGGGCCTCGTCCAAAACTCCTCGCTCCACAAGTACATTATGTTTGTATTTTCACACACGCCTGAGTTCAGAGTATGTGCCAAACAAATGGCGGCCCAATGGTCCTCGTAAAATGTTCCATGACTTGCTCGAGGACACGATACTGCTATGTTGCCCAGGCCATAGAAGTTGGATTTTATTGAGGAATTCACAACCGGCGCCTTCAGTTAACCAAAACCTGACATGCAAGTCAGCGGGGTGGTGTGTGAATACTGCAATCGATTGGGGGCCGGTGTTCAGCTCATCGATTATACACCCTTTTGACGGGGTCAAACGGCCAAGGTGCCCAATAAACTTGGATATCCAGTCGAGCCGGTGGCTACTACTGCCACCAGGAAGCTGTGGGTGAGTGCGGTTCCTTCGCCTCTTCTTGGTTGGTTTAGAGTCATGAGTTTTAGCCAACTCCCTTAGATGAACTGCCAATGATGGTTCACCGACTTGATTATAGCCCTGGATGTTTGTTTCCTGTTTCGGAGGTGTTTCCCCATCAATGTGAAATGACAAAAAGCCAACATCCGAGGCTAAAATCGAGTCGATGGCCGGCTGGCTGTTCACCTAAGGGAATTGGTTCAACCCCGACTCCAAACCAACCAAGAACCGGTGCACAATTCACACCCACCTACACCTTGCTTGTTGTAAGAGCGGTCACCTGCTTGATTGAACATCGAAGTTTATTGGACCGTTTGTACGTTCAAAGGCCGCATGACTCGATGAACTGGACACCGTCCCTCTGTGAAACGCGGTTCTCACACACCGTCCCGTTGCCTTGAAGCTCAGGCTTTGACCAATCAAAAGCCCCGGTGGTGAGTTCTTTAAGAAAACTCACCTGCTTTGGCTTGGGCAACTGGGTGTTATTGCGCCCACAGGCAAATCATGGAACATCTTTGCATAAAGATTATTGTACTGTGATTTCTTTGGCACATTCTGGATTTCGACGTGTATGAAAATATAAATATATATAAAGGGTGGTCTTGATTGTCGAATGTGACGAGCGATGCAGTGTAGAATTGTTTAAAGTTCGTTTACTCCTTGGAGTTTGATAAACGAGGGCTGCTAGATAGTCCAACCGCTGAGCAGTATTCTCAATCAGAGACTCATTCTGACAAGAACTTAACCTTAAGGTAACTGGTGAAGCAGAGCGAAGCTCCATTTTCTCGATCGTCCCAGCAACCGGAACGATCGCTTGAATCGAAACCTCCAACCTAGAGGACAACTTCATCTAACTTGTGATGAAATCTTTTAGCTTGACAAAAGTTATCTCATGCATCTAGTTAGTTCAGAATAGTGCCTAAGCAACCACACCGCATCAATTTGCACTCTGTTGAACGGTTCTTCGTTTCTAGCCCATTCTAGATGTTGGTTTTCGCAAACCGCCTTGTGGAATAAGAACTCCCAACGTACATGATGTATCCCATTGCTTGTGAGCCTCAAAAACCCATGTATGTGTTGGATCAGTTCTATCGACTGTCCTCGCTAATGACAAAACTCGAGGGACCAACGGCCGATGCATGAACTGGTTCGATCAGCTCTCAGTTCTGTTAAGTGTTTGGGGTTTAACATAGATGTCCATGTAAGATAGTCCCCTCACATTCAGTAATGTGCGGGTATACGTCGACGGATATCCCTTCACTTACTCAAGCTCTGTTAGTTTTGACCTCAGCAGCCGGTAATTTTTGAGTTAATTTTTCTGGATGTTGTCCCTGTAACGCTTCACTGTTTGATTGCAATTTCGGCCTTCTGACACGGTTCTAAAATCTCCACTGCAGTTTAGCACTTATTAGTCGTGTTTTATTCCTCTTCATTGGTGTTCTGCTAATACATTTATCCTTGTTTAGCTCTGTCCCTCATATACATTCTGTTCCTCCACACATCCGTTACATGACAATATCACTTTGCCGCCCTTATTGATCCACTCGTTCGGAATTTCGGCAGGAGTTCTGTGAAACAAATTTGTGCAAAACTCTCCTTACTCTCCTGGTTCAGGTTTTGACGAGCACAGAAAGACTAAAGGTGGACCTGTTCGCAAAATTTGAACAAAAAATTAATCTTGTCTCTCTTTACTCGCTTGATTTTGATAGTTCTGACAGCCGACTAGTTCTGTGCATTATTTGCACCATTTTGGCAACTCTTCTAAGTGAAATGTGGGCAGAATGCTTGCAAAAGTCTTCCTCACAAGGAAATACGGTAACTGGTTGATTTAAACTGTAATCGCGAGCCTCTGGAGACCGCGTACCTGTGCACATAATTTGGAATATTACCTCGCAGTTCATGTGTTCATACCCTGTCGGTTACGCGCCAATTCCACCCTCATCGATTGACAGCTTCTCGTTGAATCAGGCGCCGATTCCTGAGTAATGAATGCAAAATACTTGTCGATCAAATGACTGTAGTACGTTACGTGTCCCCTGCTCATGAGCGTTGACTAGTGTCTAGCGCTTATTATATAATCGATTTCTTGCGATAACCCACTGGTTATTTCGTAGTTTACAATTTTCGCACATCTTGTATTCTGTTGTTGATTGTCACACTCGTGTGACAGAAAGCAAACACACAGTGTTGCTGTATTAATCATGTTTGATCAATGTATACTGTATTGTTCGATGCGATTAAATAAAAGAGCGTCTAAATGAATGCAATCATATTCAGAAGTGCGCTTTGATGTATCATCCACTTAACAAGATGTTTAAACTGATCAGCTGAATTATGTGCCTAATTACTTTGACCAAACTGATATAGAACCGAATGGAGGAGTAATAGATCCTAATGATTTGTGGTTTCATAGTTCTCGCGGATTTCTTCACGATTGTGTCTCATCTTGTGGTTTTTCTCAGTGCGAAGCTCGTGTAACTCAACCTATTACAATGGTTTGGGGATTTATGAGCACCCCCCCCCCCCCCNCTGTATCCCACTTCTAATTTCTACTTCACATTCAGGCTGCGAACAAAGCTCAGAAATATGAACGCATCTACGAGAAAAAGGTGAGCACATCAATTGACGCACTGTGTCGTGGTTATCCGCCGGAATTCGCCATCTATCTGACCCATTGTCGCAGTCTCCGTTTTGACGAGGCACCTAACTACGGGTTTTTGCGCGGTAATTTCCGGAACCTCTTCCGCTCCTCCTCATTCCTTTGGGACTATGTGTTCGACTGGACACTTTTGCGTCAAAAGGCATCAGCCATGCAACAACAACAACAATCACACAGCGCGCTGCAACATGCGGGAGCGACAACTGGGAACCGGGATACGCATCAGACCACGGGCGCGTCGGCGACCGGGGCGATGTTGACCTCAAATGTCGCTACTGCAGGTGCTGCAACAGCAGCCACTGCGGTCAACTCGAACGCAGTCGGAATGATACCGGAAGTTGGAGGTAAAGGGAACAAGGATTTGAATTACGCGTTCCAAGCTGAAGCCGCTGCTGCACCGTCTGAGTAAGGCCCAACGCGCGGAGCGTAGACTGGACGTTCCCTAGATCCCTTGACTCCACTTCGTTGCTGCTGTTGCAGCTACCTTCTTCTGCTGCACATTCCGCAGACTCTCTCTCTCTCTTGACCATTCAGCTGTGACCACTATCCCTCTTGATCTGGATCCACGTGGTCGTCCACTGATACACTCAGCGATCTCTGCGTGCCCAGCAGATGAAATTTAGAAATCGGATTGACTTTTGTTGCTGCTCTCACCGTTCTCACTGCTGATGATATTGTCGTCACGTCGGCCGATTTTGCAACTGGTGACGATACTGTCTATCTTGTGATTGTTTTTTGTGTGTGCAGAAATCCCGTGGGTCAAACAACACAACAAGCGTGTACCATTCATCGTTCACCTCTTTTATGACCGCTGCTAATATCATTATATGTATTGTGACTCATACTTAGGACTATTTCATTCGAAAACTTTTTTCACACGTCTTTCCGTGTTATGCGATACATACACAAGCGAACCGAATGAAACTTGGCACAGGGCCGCATTATTACGCGATGTATTTTTGCTCTCATCATTCTTTCTCTCTCAAACACACACGCCATGCGACCAACTCGAAATGGTCAGGCTTCCGGTCGTGGCTTATGCTTTCGTTATGTAACCCAGTATGTGATATCCTGAGTGTATCGTCGCTATTGACTTATCCAAACGAAGCTTCACTCGAGCCAAACATGTTTCTTTCACCCCATCACTTCCGACTAACATTAATTGCAAACCGTCGGCTCTGTTCGTTGTCATCATTATCATCATCACTACCAACGTATGCGCATCATCTCATGCACGTTCATCCTTCATTTACCCCGCTCGGGGACTTGCGATCATTTTATCCTGGCTTGCTCTGAACATTCCGCGCCCTCTTTCATGGTTTGCATGCCGGTATCCGCGTGTATCGGGTTTTCCATTCGCGCGAGGCTAGTCAGGCACAAAGCCATTGCTAATTTCCTGTTGCTTCCCCGCAACACCACTCTGTTCCGGCACTGCTCAACACACATATTTTATCATTCTGCCAACAGCCTCTACCGCTTTTCAGTAAATCCTCTCTCAATCATTCAATCCAATCGGCTGTTTTATTGGTGCTGCCCCAATCGTCTCACTGAAACGTCGATCTATTGACTTCATCGTTGATCGTAAGGATTGTGCTGGTATATCTAGTGACCTCGAACGCAATAATATTACTTCATCCACCCATCTATCCGTTCATTTATTCTCTTGCCTAACTAACGTAACACTTCGTCTCCCGGTCACATGTTCGCGCGATTGTGTATAAACGTACATCAACGTACACCACACAGCTTCCGACCGACCAGTTCAATCCAATGCACGCACAGCTTCGAGTTATCTGACAAATGCGCACAGTATATTGTTATTATTCGATGCCTGTTTACATTCACAGATTGTGATGAACCGACTTGCACTAGGAAACCATGGAAACCCATGCTCTCCAGTAGTGACAAGGCGCAGTCATGCCCGTCAAATGTTCGATTCCCCATATTCCCACTCACACATACACACATGGATTGGCGATGCCACATCATCGGACTGGTCAGTCCCAGAATTTACCTTCTACTTGTTCGATAGACTGAGATTAACGCCTTGTGTTTTTGTTCCGTTGATGTGACTCATGTGCCCTCCTCGTCCCATTCACCACCCACTTTTTCTTTTGCCGTGCTTCATTGCACCGTGTTTCCTTGTGTTCTCTATTTTACCCTTATTTAAACCTACTTTGATTCTTTCCTTCTCTTAGATCAAATCAATTAATTCACCCTACCTAACTTCTTACCTTGTTTTTTGAAAGCCTCTGTTACCAGTTTGACCACAAACTGATTGAGTATTTATGTGCTATGGGTTCTTTGTTCTTATTCCGTGTCTTCCTGCACTACTATACGCATACTACCGTCGGCTTTGCCCACTGTGTGTGTGCCTAATGAGGTTTATCTGTTTGGTCAGTTTACCAATCAGCCTATCAATTCGACGTCTCACACTGTCTCTCACGAGTGGGATTGACAACGCACTTCTTATATTTCATTACAGCTTCAAACCCACGCACCCAATCAACCTTATCCTTATCTGTTCATCCTAACTGTATATTCCTGGCAGCAGGAGCGGCAATCTGTTCCAGTTATGGGGTCATAAATTCACCACATCGCACACCCGCTCTGTTTTTTTATTAAAAAATCCTACTTATGTTCTCATAGTCCCCGTTCACCGTATTGTATGCTTTTGATTCCTCTCGCTGTCCATTTTTATCCCGATAATCCTCTCTCTCTTCGTCCATTTAGTTCACTCTCACATGCCCACCTACACTATTCGTGCATGGAACTGTGCGTCTCAATATACCTGGTCCAACTGTTCCAACACTCTCTTACTCTCTTTCAGTCTCACAAGCTGGCTTGCTGGCTCTCTTCCTTTTCTTCTAATCATCCCGCTCACTTCCTCCATGGCCGCTATGTGTCTTGTATAAGTTCAAGGTGGAACACAGTGGTTCGCTGTAAGACAGCTTGGTCGATCGGTCCACCCTTCCCCGTCCATCCTCAGCCGATTTCTTCCAGCCAGACGTCTGTTCAAAAAGTACCTGCCCAAGAGAAATGAAATGAAAATTTGCGTGTTTTTTCACTTTGCGCTTAGGTGCTGATGCTTCAACAGATATTTTCCCAGATTAGTTTGTTTTTGGGGGTTTCGGTACTTTTATGAATTTCCAAGACAAAACGATCGACAGTTGTAACCCTACTCTATTCTTGACTAATGCATCACCGTTATAACAGGAGTAAGACTTTCCTTGCACATGGTAATGAAAAATTGTCTGGGCACATAGCGAACCTTAGCGATACATTGATAATAATGAGCTTATCTTACTTGATGTCTTGGCTTAGGATTTTTGTTAAACTAGTCGGGAGTAAATCCCCCAACCACAAACCTAATCTTCCGTTAATTAGAGCAACATCAAAGAATGCATATTCAATATAACTGTCTATAAAGCCAACAACCACAATGATACAACAATTCCAAATAAAATAAGCTAACATGGGGATAGACCAATTATGGGAAGTGTTCCAATTGTTGGTCTGTGCGGTTCTGGCACAACTGCTAACACTAAGCAATGGAATGCAAAGCACTGGTGGACGCCAATTTCTCACTGGTCACTCTCTGACTAGAGTACTCAACCTATCCGTGATTTGATGTCCTCTTGTAGGGTTTGAACTGCTTCATATAGACACCCGGAACAGCCTCTCATCGCAAGCTTGTCTCGAAAATGTGCAATTCTAAGCAGCGTTGGTTTATCACGTTAATGCTGCACTCTAGGCCATCACGATGAGACTGCACCTTGACGTGGTGTGATGGCTTGTATGCCTCCATGACCGTGCCAGCTATACAGGATGGCTTCCCACAGCCACAGATCCAATCATGCTTGAAAGGTTAATGGGTAGAGGCCAGACAAAGATCAGTCTCACAAGGCCAACTTTTCTTGAATGTTCATTCCAGCCCATGGAGAGGTCAGTACACAAAATATAACGCGGCAAGGGTCAGCTTACCGGTAGAAAAACCCGCCAGATAGACCAATTAAATTGTCTGAGTTTCACATATTGCAGTCATTAATCTGTAAATTTCTCTGTCGTTCGTCGAGAAAATTTCAGACGCCATTTATTTTCGAGCGGATACACATTGGGAGGCACTGATATATAACCGGATTTGGTTCAATCACAGATATTTTTATCTATCCTGGCGAGTTCCTCGAATTGACAAATGTTTGCGTGTCTATAGGGCTAGGTTTTTCAAGCTCAGTGGTCGGAATAGCGTCTCCTTCCAACCCAAAAGAAGCGTTTTAATTGCGCGTTTTCGGGGAACCTTACGCTTCAGAGTCTGGTCAAGCAGGCGTTGGTTTTGCCTTAGGCGCTAGGGCCGAGGCCGGTCTATTGCATTGGATCCCGATGGATAGCCGACTATGTGCAGTGAGACTCAGAGGCTCAAGTAAGGTAAAAAAGCGGAAACCAAACGAACGATGCTTATTCGTGGTTTCTAAATACACTCCCACAGATTGTAGCCCTTCTATCAAAACCTACATGAGCTTCTTCTCAAAGCACCTAAGTCAGATATCGTGATCCTGGCCGGAGACCTAAACGCACGCGTTGGTCGTCTGTCGCCCGATGAGAGCCACCTTTGTGGCCATCATGGACTTGATAGCTATCGTTCAGATATTGGAGATAGACTTATTGGCATATGCTTAGAACACGGTCTGTTCCTCATTAGCACGAACTTCAAACACAGCGTCACCTCGCCACCTGGCGTAACCCTTCTTCGGTACAGACGTGGAGTTAGATTGACCATATAGCCATTAGCTATAAATGGAGAGGATGTGTGAAAGACTGCCGTTCGTATTGGTCTACCTGCTTGGACTCCGATTACGCAATGGTTTGTGCCAAGTTGTCTATGCGATTTGGTGGCCGAAAGAAGATGCGATGCAAACAGCTTGAAATGGCCAAGCTCTCTGACCCGGCCGTGCAAGTTGACTACCAAAACGAGTTGGCCGCAAGGCTAACTACTGCCCCACCAAGAAGCGTAGATCAACACTGCACAACCATTCAAAACGTAATGCACTCAGCCAGTTTACACAGTTGTGGCTTAACCCACCGAGTTGTAAATCACTGGGTCTCCTCCAATTCTCTCAGACTGCTCGGCGCGCGTCAGATAGTCTGACAGACTGCGAGTATAATGAACAACAGCCTCTCTCCGAAGCATGAAATCACAAACAGTTTGAGAGACGGCCGAGAAGCCTGGTGGACGCTACGTGCAAAGGAGATGGAATTAGCAGTTGGGTGTGGAAACACCCGGCAACTATTTCAGTTCATCGTGTCACAGGCCGCAAATACCGGTGCGTTAGTGAAACAATCTGCGAGGCAGACAGTCTTCACCGGCGCTTGGAACGCTGGTCAGAGCACTTCATATCTCAGTTAGACCAG